AAAAACGCAGATAGAGGCGATAAGAGCAAAGCCCTCGTACTGACACCGCAGAGTAGCTTTCAGCTTGACTCATATCGTCGAATACAATAACATCGAGAGTCTTCGGAAACAATATACGTCGAAGCATGTTTTTTTTGAGTTAGTATGCTTTACTGTTAATAAATAATTATTGTATTTCCGTAGATCTTGCGTTATCTAAGTAGTGTTTAAAAATCGTGTGTCCACGTAATATGGATCATGTTAACTGCCAGAAAGAAAATATTTTCGTTCCATACGTAACTGCCTTTACCAACTTTCAAGCTTAGTTTTCTCAAAACTAACCATTATGGACATATAATATGCGTTCACTAAGCCATCGAAGTAATAGTTGCGTACAAACACGGTACAGTGCTGGATATAAAATGTGTACACTTTTTCTTGTAAGAAATAAGTATTCTCTGAGTAATGCACACGTTTTTACAGAAACATTTTATACATTCTTGTTTTTCATCAATTAGTTGGGAAAATGTCTGTGTTTCGGTGTGAGTGAGTGCAGCCATCATACCAAAAAGACGCAAACAATGCAGTCTCATCAGTCTTGGAATCTTCCTCGCACTGACGTCACTTCAACTGTCAAGTAATTCGAGGTATGTAGAGATCCCCAGCTAAAGCGTTCCCTAATTGTACAATCGAAAACAATTTCGAGTAAATTCATTGGTCTATTTTTCGACATCTTCAACACACCAAGGTGCTGAAGATCTCTCCTGAACTATGAGACATTGAATTGTTTTTTATTATTCCGGGATTTGATTATTTTTTATTGATTAGTGATTCCGGGTGCGTCAACAAAGGTCATTGGACCCGTAAGTGTAGTAAACGTTTTACGTCGGGAGATGGTGGTTATCTTGCTCTGCTGGATGGCAAGATCCGGCGCCGACATACAGCCGTGTAGCGGGGTTTTGCCCAACTAGTTATCTCCCACCAGCGGGGCACTGCCCCAGCCGAGTCAAGCTCTCAGCTCCAGCCTATCTCCTGGCATGTGTAGTAGTGCAGTGGAAGTAAGTGGTATGACAGATCAATGATTGGGAAGGAAAGGTAGCGTGGGGTTCGTGACCCGTTTGGTAGGGTACTGCTCCGGCATTCGCCTGGTGTTGATTGGAGAAACCTCGAAATACTACCGAGAATTCTTCTCCAGACAGCCTCAGAACTCGACCTAGCTTTCTGCCTAGTTTAGAAAATCCTGCTACCGTCGATACTGGAACCCTAGGACGAATCGGTCAGGGGCTCTGCAGTGACATCAGTTAATGCCCTGAGCCAAGTCTCCGGGTCTGAGACACTGAGAAGTCCCGGAGTCGTTCCAACGTGGTTTGACTAGGGGACTCGCAACGCGGGCGAGGCAGGGCAGGGTAGAGGAGGGTGGGGCGGGTGTGAGGTGTCTGTCGCCTCCTCCGCGCTGTGACTTCGGCGCTCGGGAGCTCCGCCCCGGGCGTCTCGATCCGTCTCGCCCCCGCCCCGCCCCTCCTGCCGCCCGCGTCGCGCTCCGCCATCCATTTATTCATGTGGCGCTCGGGGCTGGCCTCCCGCCTCCTCGAGTCCGCCACGCGCAGACGACGACTGCTGTGATTTTGTTTCGGAGAGGCTTCGGCCAGGGGCTCATTGTCGCTCCCGAGTAGAATGGTTTTCCGCTGGAAAACGCTTTGCAAAGCGACAAAGCTTCCTCTTGACCGTCCAAGCAAAACGTATTCCTTCGACCAGAATCACACGATGAAGATTTCTTGCGATCTGACAGCGCTCAGAACAACAACTGCTGTCACTGCAGTGTCTCTTTGCGGGGATCCTAGGATTCTTCTTCTT